GAGTCTCCTTCCCTGGAAACAGTCGGGTAGACACAGTGTTTAGGGATACGATTTAGTTGAGGACTTGTCAGTGTTAGGTTAATGATTGGACTCAATGATCATAAAGGTCTTTTCCAAACTAGAGAATTCTGTGATTCTGTGTAGGTGAGGTAAATCAAGCTCTGCAGTGGGGAAGGAGAAACACAGGTCTGCAGACCAGTTCAGCAGTAGGCCAGCAATAACTAGGACTCTGTCAAGGGGAAAGAAAGAGAAAGTGCAAACACACACATACATACTCCAAGCCCGTGTATTCTCCTCTTTCACTGCTGGCAACAATGTCAGCTCCAGGCCTAGCAAGCTGGGAATGTACAATAAGTCTGCCCTTCCCTAAAAAGCAACTGGAGGCTGCCATGGCAATAGCAGTTTATCCAGATTTACTGAGAGGAGTGGCTTAATGATAATATCTCCCTTGCAGTTTGATACCTGCTCTCTAAAGAGCTGCCCTTGTATATGGAATACTACTGACAGCTTGGATTAAAAACAGTACTTGCAAAATAGAGTTGTGATTTTAAAGGTCCAGATCAATGGAGAGAAAAAGCACAGACGGGCATCTTGACTTCTGTAAAATAGGTAATTCCAACCCCTCTAAATCAGGTAAGAGAAAGATTCATTAAGTATTCATTGCACTTCTAATCTGCAAAGGAATATAATTCTCCCTGTTTAGCTATTATACACTGATTACTACACACGCATACATATATATTTCATATTTTTTAAAGCATGTTTTTACAACTATTGTCTTTGGTAGGCAAATTCTTAAACTATCCTTCTACTGTAGCTCATGATGTTTGCCACATAGGCTTACGATGTTTGCCATACAGGACTTCATTAACTCACAAGTAATTATACGAACATCATTCCTAAATAAAAGAAATAGTAGCTTAATCACAATCTACTTACATAATCGCATGCAAATATTGTTGTATATTACTTATTTTTCCCACCATACTAGTATGTATAATATTCTAAATGCAGTTGAACTAAAATATGTGAAATGCTCCACTTAATACTCACATTGCATTATATATCCTTTCATATCAATTCAACCGAACATAAGAAGGGAATGCATGAGATGATTACCTAATAGGTAAGATATTAAAGTAAAACATGCAAATAATGGTTGATATCTTTATAACAAAATGTAGGACTCCCTGCATAATGCTTTATTAAATTGATAAAATGAGCTAAAAGGGTACTCTTTGAGAGCACATATAACAGAAGTATATTCATAGAATCATAGAATCATAGAACCATAGAATGGCCTAGGCTGGAAGGGACCTTAGAGATCATCTAATCCAACCTCCCTGTCATGGGCAGGGACGCCTCTCAACTAGATCAGGACACTCAAGGCTCTGTCCAACCTGGCCTTGAACACCTCCAGGGAGGGGGCAGCCACAACATCTCTGGGCAATTTATTCCAAAGTCTTGCCGCCCTTGTACTGAAGAATTTCTTCCTAAGATCTAATCTAAATCTGTTCTCCTTCAACTTAAACCCATTTCCCCTTGTCCTATCAGTGGACACTCTTGTAAAAAGTCCCTCCCCAGCCTTCCTGTAGGTTCCCTTCAGGTATTGGAAGGCAGCTATTAGGTCCCCCCAAAGTCTTCTCTTTTCAAGACTGAACAACCCCAGCTCCCGCAGCCTGTCCTCGTAGCAGAGGTGCTCCAGCCCTTGGATCATCCTTGTGGCCCTCCTCTGAACATGCTCCAACAGATCCACATCCCTCTTATGGTGGGGGCACCAAAACTGGATGCAGTATTCAAGGTGGGGTCTCACAAGAGCAGAGTACAAGGGGAGAATCACCTCTCTTGACCTGCTATTGGTAGATGAATAGTCAGAAATTTGGAGAACCTATCTGATAACTGGAATAGATTTGTACTAGATTAAAACATAGTTGCAAACAGGCAAACAGAATTCTCAGAGTAAGCCCAAAATAAATGTTCATGTAAAATTAGGGCTTCTACAGTAAAGAATAGCAACAAAAAGGAGAAAGGGGCAGAGAGAGTAGATGAGGAATGAATTTACATAGAATAAGCTACTAACTCATGTTAATATTTTTTTTTAACTTCAGGCCAAATTAATTGCTTATTATGATCTTATTAAAAATGTTAAAAAACCTCACAGGACTCAGGAGTGAACACAGCAATGTTCAGAAAAAGAGTTTTCTTAAACTACAGATGCAAAAATTTGGACTGGAACTGTGAGGATGATCTGTTCACAACCTGTAGCTCCAGTTATTCTGTCGCTGCTTGGACAGTAGACAAAAAAATTTCTGTTTTCTAACATTAAAAAATGACACTTCTGGAAACCATTAGAGTACACACGCAGTTTTACTGCCCATCAGGGTAGCTTCAACAGCCTCAGGATAGAGCAGGGCATGCTCCTTCCCACATGCAGCAAGACTGGGTCCTGATTGATTGTACAAGGCTTCAAATTCTCCTGATGAAAGCCCAGGAGTTCTTGTTATAGCACCAAGCTGGGAGTTGAACCCTTAATGTTCTTCTCTTGCTTATTATGTCACCTCAGGAAAGATTCTTTTTTTTGCACTTGCTCCCCCATGTCCACCCTCATCACACTCACACCAGCTGCAAAGAACACTGTTTCAAAAATCTCGTCTTGGTTACAGCTTCTAAGCTCTACTATAATACAGAGAATTAACAACAGACAGTAAGAATATTTTAGTACATTTAAATATGAATGCCAAGGTAGACACCGGGGAAATGCCTAGACAAAACCAGACATATTTGCTAATGACTCCCTGAGCCCCAAACACACTTCACCCAGCTGTGCAGTTCCAGCCCCTCCAGCCACATAACTAACTTCATACAGCTCAACCGTGAGGGCAGTCCAGTAAAGTGGAGGTGGTGAGGGGGAAGGGAATTTATTATCCAGGTCTGCAATTGCCCTAATACAGTTACAAGGCTACCTAGCCAACTTACAACAAAGCGGGGCAGACAGCTGTGCTGCCTGCCTCCCTCCATTTAGACCTCCCAATAGTACTTCTCCATGAGCTCGATGAGATCAGGAATCTGACATTACAGTTCCCTCAGGCAGCTATGGCCGTGCTGTTTGTAGCCACTTCAAGCTTACTTATACCACCAACACAAATTGGAATCAAGCATTTAGTGCCTTCATCCATAATTATTGGAAAAGAAAGCAGAGAGGCAGGCAATACAACCTAATTCAAAGTGCACGTGACCTTTAGCCAAGAGGATTTTAGGAAAAGATAACTTTGATATACATATTCAAACCCCTTTTAATTGAATACATTATAAGAAAACATTACTGAACTGTACCTATTAGGGTGCAATTCTAATGAATTTGCAGAGACAGAAAGTTCAGCTGAAGAAAAAACTACAAAAGTTTGTGTAATTTTTTTATATTCACAAGGGCCATGGAAAAGAGTGAGTAAAAAGGAGTACAACGACCGTAGGTTAAAGTACAGTGCTTCAATACTTAACAAAATACATTTAGAGAGCAAACATTCCCCACCCGTGAAATACCCTGTGAGTAGAACAGATGGTGTTCTATCCATGTCCACCTTCTGGAAAGGCATTGGACTGCTTTTGTTGCTGAGCTTCTAGAGAAACAACTTTCCTTCCTAATTTTCTTGGGCACAGTCTGAATTAGCTTTTTGTCAGTCCACACCTGGGTGAACTATAAGTTTGCAAAGCACAGTAATACAGTCTCTATTTAGCAGGTCTTTGCTGGAGGTCGTGTCTGTTATATCTTGACCTGCGTCTCTGAATATACTTTGGAAAAGTCATATTATATTAGGGTTGGCATGAAAGCAAAACTGTGTTCAGAAAAATCACTACTATCAACTTAATGGTCGAAGCTGTTTGAAAATTTTCAGGGAATCAATAACATTTTTAAAAAGTCATTTCTTCCATTCAATGTGTAGTTTGTACTGAGTAAAATTTTATCCTGTCATCTTATCAGGTACTGTAGTGGACTCTGATCTATAAATGGTTATTTTGATGATGCTCACACAAAGCTCCTACTTGAACAGACCTCACAGTTTGGCACCTGCTGCATCATTTGGAGAGAGGTTCTAGAAATATTAAAAACTGCAACTGGTGACAGCATATTCTGGCAGAATATCCCAGCCTTATTTTGGTTTTACTAGGAGCAATTGGGATTAAACGTAAAACTTTACAAGCATAAAAACCTTGCTTTGAAAAATACATTACAGATCTATATTCCAGATATTCCATAATGGGCTTTCATACCAACTGGGCCAGAAAGAATAAGGCAAAATTAATTCTCTCTAACCCTACCATGGGCACAATATTTTTGACCTTGGATATTCAGTTACAGAAGAAAGTCAAAGGAAAAAAAAAAAAAGGCAGTTTGTCCAGCACTGTAGATGGAAAGGTTGCTCTGACCTTCACTACAAGCAGGATTTCATCCTGATTTGTTTTGGTGCTGTTTTCTGGATCTCAGACACAGCTCACTGCACAGCTGTCCACTATGCCCACACGTCGCTAGGCCCGGTACGGATACTCAAGGCAATCAAAGCAATGATGGAACGAGCGTGGGCAATTATTGTCCTTCTCTCCTCTGCTTCTACCAAAGATAAACATAGACACACTTGTGGGCAAGGGGATGCTACTGTTACCGAGGGTGTGTTTTTTCTCCCATCTATCACACTAAACATTAGAGAGTAAAGAATATAAAGGTTTGGACAATTTTATGATTCTATGATTCTGTGATAAAAGTTCATGAAGATTTCCTTGTGCTGGTGTGGTACAGTAAGCTCTTACTGATATCTACTTGGAATTTACTTTTTTCCAGATAGAGTAAAGCTTGTACATTACACCATATTCTGAATTCTTTTGCCAGTTCAGACATACTGGATTTAACTTAAAAGTTTTGTATTTTAAATTCAATACATCTAATTCAATTTTCATTTTAAAAGCTATTCATGTCTTTTTTCCCTTCAGGGCCACTCCATGGAAAGATGATGAATGGTACATGCACTATTTTCATTTGCAACACAAATTCTAAGCTAGAATGGTACTGCTATTTGCTGATTACACTTTGCATTTTCACTTTATTAGCAGGATTTCTAGGCAATATACTTGCACTACGATATTACACGTGCTACATGAAGACATGGACTACCAACACCATATTCCTCTTTAATTTGGCACTGTGTGACTTCACTTGGACTCTGATGGCACCTTTTTCAGTGTATTATAGTCTCCAGAAGTTACCTGTTGCTTCCAATCAATCATTTTATCGGATCATAAGACTATTTTTCAGCATTAATATCTACGGAAGTGTCTATTTCCTGACACTTGTCAGTTTTGACAGATACATAGGTGCTGTCCACCCTATCACTTCATTAACATGGTGGGACAAAGAAAAGGCCGTGTTTTGCACCATTGCGATGTGGATCTGCGTCACGATTGCATCGATGCCAGAAGTTTACTACACAGTTACAGCTGGAGAACAACAGGACATCACACTTTCCCTGGATAGCACTGAAGGGCCTTCACAATTTGCAGTGCCGTTCACGCTCTCCAAGACTGTACTGAGATTCCTAATTACAGCCACAGTCATCCTTACGTGCTATATATTGACTCTCAAAGCATTACTACAACTCAGTAAACGTCAGCAAAGAAGGAACAGACTTGTTAGACCTCTGTTACTCATTTCAGCCACTATGATTATATTTGCTGTTTCCTTCATACCTTATCATGTGATGATGATGGTGACACTAATTTACAGACTTAATTGTCAGCTGCCCTGTGGGAACGTAAGGACATTAAATGTCATTTATAAAGTCACAGAGATTATCTGCAGCATCAACAGTTGCCTTGACCCCATCATTTTTACCATAGCAAATAAGACATTCTATCAAAGAAGTATAAAATGTCATCCCAAATGCCAGTGCTGCTGTTGTCTGACAGGAAGGGTAAGCGACATCACTCTGTCCCCAGGAACAACGACTTAAAACACCAGTCTACAGAGACATGCATCTCCCACTGCCCATTTGTCTTTGTCTCAACAGAACTCCTTAAATTTTGGTCTCCTGTATTGTAGAGCAATCTCTTGAATAAGCAAGAATACACAGCAACGTGAAAAGCAACACTAGCAATTCTTAGCTTTATAGAATTGGCATTTTTAACATTCTTGTCATAAATATAGCTTAATTTATTGTGAAACAGTACTTCTTACCTGTACATACATGTAACACGGAATGAACAATGATGAAAAGTTCTAAGTGGTTACTTTAATTCTTGGCCAGGTAAAATACAGTAGGATTAAGAGCACGCAGTGTTGAAGACTCTCGTTACTGTTTCTGTTAATTATTTATTCATCTGTTTCTAAGTGCTGCTGTGACTGGGCTGTGCAATTAATAACATCATGATGCTTACAGTTGAACTTCTTGAGCATTTGCAAAGAGACTTTCTACAAGTACTTCATTTTAATGCTGCTTGCACGAGAGTTCCACCGACACTGTCGGTGGAACCTCACTAACCCGGGTAAGTGCAGCATATTTCCAAAACCAAACAAACACAAAATAAATAGTAAGATAAAGTCCCTGAGGACAGTCAGAGACACAGTGAATCCACCACTTACGAAGCAAACAAGCACAAATTGAAAACCTTTGTTAGGTCAGGCTCCCAGCAGCAGGAGTTCCAAACCAGTAGGCAGGGCACACTGGTGCTGTCCCCTAAACTTGAACAATTACAGCTCTTTCTTCAAAGTGTTCTGCTTCAAGGGAATGTGTGCTTCTGCTATGAACTCTGAACTCATCAACGGGGAGAAGTGTGCACCGGAAAAGTTCTGAAATACAGGGGTGGCTGAGCAGCAAGAACAGGCTGCTATGCAGGAGTGCTTCTCCTCCATTTAGGGTCATAGCACCACAGTTTCAGGACAATCTAAGGTGATCACTCTACCATTCATTTAAATCATTAAAACAGCAGAATATATAACTATCAGAATATCCACCTTCAAGAATCCTTAAATATGTGTTCTTTCAATAAATTTCATGGGCAAAATAATCATGTTTCATAATCAACCACCTGCTGACCTGCTTTCTACCCAAGTTCCACACACTACTTTATTAATTATAAAAACCCATGTACCAGTGAGCATGTTAACTTTATTTTCAGAAGTTACTAGCAACAAAGTACTGTTTAATACACTTTGTAAAGTGTATTAATTCTTTAATTTCCATGGGTTTAAAATAATTTTGTCCTCACACATCTCTATGTGAACATAATTCTATCTTATGTGGGTATTAAATCTCTCTTGTATATTTCAATTGTATTGAGTAAATATATAAGTATATGGAATATCTAGAACATTTCTTTTGATTGTCTATAATTGTGACATGAAATGAAGAACAACTTCTTGATAATCTGAAACACTTCATATATGTTTGGATGTACTAGCAAGATCATAGGGTCTTGCAGCAAAATTGTGTGCCTGTATTCTCTGCAAGGGAGTTATTTGATCACCTCATTCTAAGTGCTGGGTTTTTGCTTTGATAATTTCTCAATCTTCCAATATCTCTTATTTTAAAACAAAAATATTGACTTTTTTATGCATGAAACATCTTTTGGAAGCATGGCAGAGTTATTAAATATGTGTTGGCTTCATTAAGAAAGAGAGCTTTTTAATCCATGAAAGGGCAACCATCCACAATTACCTGCTATAATATACACTAATATACACTAATATACACTAACATCTTAGGCTGATACAGAAACAATGTCAATACCATTTAGCAACAAAGGTGCTTTCAGCATGAAAAAGGATAGAACAGGAGATTAGTGTGAAGCTCAGGGCTAAATGAGTTTATTGCTCCAAACCAGATTGCCCCCAAGACTGTAAACAGTAAGCTATTTTTAAAATCAAACACTTGCTACTATTACCTTTCAGTCTATCTTTAAAGGCAGAGACACACTGTTTTCTTCTCCTTTTTCCAACTTAGTACTGCTTTTCAGCCAGTTAATTTGTGTGTATTCAGACCAGGTAGAATTTAATGTGAAATCAAAATACACAAAACTAAACACTACATGCCTGGGCTAGAAGAGATAACTTCATGCCTCTGGGAGGCAGAGGTTTTCAGGTTTTACCTGTCAGGACGTCTAATATGTGAGCTTTTTCAGGAGAGAGAGAGACAGGTCTTTTACCAGCAGCTTCAATATATTTTGAATTCTTGAGATTTTTAAGAGCAAAATGTTTTTTCCTCTATAGACAAGTAGTTTTATTCTCACTGTGTAATATCTACTAAACAGATGTTAATGTTACTATTAGATATTAAGCAAGTATCATTCAAAAGATCTTTTGTTGATAATGAGGAAAGAAGCATCCAACTCAGAAGAAATTATGGAAAATATTATCAAAGTCACTTCCTGATTTTGGAAAAAAATGAAATTGTTTCCTCTTGAAGTGCTGCTGTTACAATACCTACAAATACAACCCACACTCAAAAGTACCGAAAGCTGGCGAGAATAAAATTAAAAACTTCAATTAAAGACTGAATTTAAAGCCTCCAGTGAGCTCAAGAACAAATACACTAATTAAAAAGCTTGACAGATAGCCCTTCCATAACTCATATGCAATGGCATTTGTAAGGATTTCTCTGACTGTGCCTCAGTGTGTAAAAATTCAAACTAAGGCACCAGTAAGGACATGCTTTATAGTCAATGTGAGAGTCTGACTCAAGAAAATAAAAAGCTAGGAAGAAAATTCATTCTGGTCAGGTAAACAGAACATAAAACACATTTAACTGAACAAGAATGACCTTTATATTCTCAGTGTGACTGATCTATGCAGTGTACTTGCATAGAAAGACGCAAAATTAAATGCTTTTTACTTTCTGGCGGCATCACCATACCAGGGCACACGTGACGCAGCGATGCCAGGAGCTGGCAGCACGGGCCTGGGGGAGTATCAAGGAGCACTTACTGCACTGTAACAGTGACTAGGGAAGGACCAAGGAAGCACACAGGCAAGGACCTGATTTACAAGGGAGAATCCAGATCTCAGCCATCTCAGAAGATAAAAACTGCCATGAAATAACATTCAGCAAAATAACATCAATTTCTGCTGCGTGTCCTTTGATCCTCCCTGATCTCCAAGAATACAAGCAATACAGGCAGCATGGATGGTTGCCCTGCTCTAAACTCTTTGCTAGGGATAAGCAGGAGCAAGATGGAGATTCCTCTAGTTCAGTTACATAGGAGTGAGCAAGGTGGGTGTCCTAGCATCTCATTTCACTGTTCTGGGCTCACCTCCAGAACAAGAGACAAACCATTTGGACTCTGAAACTCCATTACTCTTCCTTGCTCCTTTTTATGTCCCAGTGAAAGAAAAATATGGAATAAACTGTTACAAAAGTAAATCCTTGCCTCCATGTATGTTTCTCTAGCTGGATGCCAACCTACATGGTGCACACAATCCTACAAAGCTCACTAATTTTCTATTGGTAAAGCCACCCTACAACAGAGGTCCCATGGTACCTTCACACATATGAGAAAAAGGGGAAGGAAAAGAAACCACCTTATGCTGCTGAAAAGATTATTCCCAATCAACCCCAAATAATGAAGAACATAAGAGAAAAAAGAAGGTGGGGACATTCCTACAAAAAGTATCTGTGTCACAGTGCCTCTGTGATCTGCTGTCCCAACCTAGGCATCTCACACAACATGCCTTCTGCTGGGCTGAGTCTAAGGGCACTCAGTCATCTTTAGATTTTATCTTCAGGACACAAAACTCATGAAGAAACCTTTCCTCACTTACCCTCAGCTGTTCATGTTCCTCATAATACTCAGCTGTAAATACACCCTAGTAGCTGACAAGGTCTCTAGACACTGGTTTCCCTGTTCATAAGTGATCCTATAATCAATTAAACACACGTATAAAAAGTGGTTTTGTTCAACTAGGCTGAACTAATGCTAACGTTGCAATGCTAATGCTAATGACTGCAAAGGTTTTCTACAAAATAAGAGTTAAAAGGCACAAGACATCTGTTCATATTTACTTGGTCATATTTTTGTTTGGAAGTACATGCTTCTAAAATGTTTTACTATAATATTTTCCAGATAGAATGACATAAACAAGTAAAATTAAATAAGTTTATGCCATTTTGCTACAATAAGTGAACAATAAACTAAAGACCTAAGAAACAAAGTCAACATGTTCTACTATGACAGGTATGTTGCAATATTGGTTTCTCACAGACCTTTGTTTGGATTAAATCATAGAATCATAGAATTGTTACAGCTGGAAAAGACCTTTAAGATCATCAAGTCCAACCATTATCTAACTATACCAGGCCCATTTCTAAACCGTCCCTGAGGACATGGTATCCAATTAAACGCCTAACTGTCACAATGAGCTTGAATACATTACTGATTGTTGTAATAATGTATTAGCTTGCAAAACTGACCGCAAGCTATAGGTAGATTTCATTTACCGTATCTAGATTCTAAGATATTACAGTGCTGGACATCTTTACAGTAATACACCGGAAGAGTACAAAATCGATGATAGCCTTAAAGATCTGACTGCTTATGTATGACTCCCTGGGCTGCCAAGTCTTCCTGCGCTGTGCCTGGAGCCCGCACTCAGAGGTGATGGGACATGCTTGCCCCCCCTGCAGGGTCCTACCACCTCTGTAGCCCTCCTCAAGCTCTCTTTTCAGGCCTCCTCCCAACTTACCACCTACTGGCTCGGTCCCTTCCTCTTTACATAACTCAGCATGCATGGGGCTTCCTCCGGCTGAGAAAGGTGAACCTTCATCAGGAAGCACTGCAGTTCTCAGCTTTTGCAGTCTAAGGTAAAATGCAGCCTAGTGACACAAAACGTAATAACCAAGGTCTCAGCTACTGACCTATCTAGAAAAGGGATGTCTTCGCCAAGTACATAGTGTGCTAGGGCAATGGGAACCTCTGTTTTCCCACCAGTCCAGCCAGTATCAGTCAGAAGACTGGCATT